TTCTGGTGCTTGAGCGCAACGTCGTTGCTGACGAGTGTTTATGTAGGTTGAGAAGGACGCAGGCTAGACTATGCGCTATGGATATGAGATTCTGCGTCGTGAAAGGCACCAGACACATTGGTGAAAATATACCAAGGATCATTTTTGTAAGTTTGAGCCAATGAAAGTACCAACTTCAACCGCGGAGCATCGAAGTGGGTTGCAGTCCCACTGTATCAGTTTCTAGAATGCGGCATGACCCTAGTGAGACTTGATACAAATGTGTTTAGACACAACGACTACGCATTGGTAGGATGATTATACTGTGTAAACGATGTGGGCAAGCAGGAGATGTGATTCGGGAACTTCAGCAAAGCGTGCCTCGCGGTTTATTTGTTTATCTCAAGGAGGTTTTGCCAGCAAAAAAAACAAAATCTCCATGGAAAGTTTTAGATAAGCAATGTTCGTCAAAATTTCTTTGTGATGGCGTCGGGCCGCACGTCGATCTGACTTGCGCTGTTGAAACAACTCACGAAGCTGCTTGTTTGAGTGACCGCCGCCTTGCTCGCCGATGTAACGAGGCCTAAAGGGTGAGAGACAGTCATCCGCTTTAGTCGGCTTTGGTGCGTCCACACACACCGTATGCGCTGCTCGCCGTCCTGAAGGAGGGCTTGGAACTTGGTGAGAATGTACGGGCCGTTGTTGCTTCATCATCCTCATCACGTCTCTGGTTTCGGAAGCTAGCTCTGTGCTGGTCTGTTTTGAGGCTGCACACATGTTGCGAAATTTCCTCTTCAAACTCGTTGCATCTCGCGTTTTCCATTGCGATGCTTTAGATCGATTGTACTCTGCAGCGACAGCTTCCCATTCGGTTTTGGTGCTTGGTAGATGTTGCGTAGTGAGAGTCAACAAGAGTTCCATCCCACCGGTGCGGTATGTTTTAGCGCCCTGCTGCATTGTCATCTGCATCGCATAATGTTACGTTTTCTTCTCGAACACAATGGTACGCTTCCAGGTCTGTCGTTAACTTACCTGCGTTCCCCTGCTCCACTTTCGAAATGGTGCAAGAAGGGAATTAGAAGGTCGCAATTGTGTACCCATTCAGAAAACGGTACTTTTTACCTAATTTTAACTATAATCCTAACCTCAAATGATAAAAATCATAGTAAGACGATTGAACCTGGATCATTGGGCCGAGGTTAATCCTCCTGACCTTGCCAGCTTAGCTGGCTCAATCGAGTCGTGAGCTGGCAAATTTCTCCTCTATACTCCTTGAGGTTGGTGTAGCCGTTGGTGCAAACGATTTGCCCCGGGGAGGAAGAAGCTCTGAGTCGATCTCCGCATTCCACACCGTGGCGGTCAGTAACAGCGAATCGACCTCTTGAGAATTGGCTTCGTAGGGCTTACGGAAGACTATCCGACTTTTCTTAGTAGCTCTTATATGATTCAGTTGACTTGAAATACATTAACGTACCTGTAGCATGTCCTCGAGGCTTCCCTGGGCGCTAGCATCGACAAAGTGAAGCCGAGCAAATTTCCACGGCTTATGCGTGTGTTCCGATACCCAGATTAACCGCATTCGAATCAGCACAGGCTTGTGTTTGTCTGCCCCAGTCAGGTGGATCTTCAAGTCTACTTGACAGCACGAACCAAGTACTGATGTTACGAAAGTTCTAAGTTTTACGTACCGTCCACGGTGTCAATAACTCTGGATTGTTCGGTACTGGAAACCAGCAACTGCCTCATACGCTCGTACGGGGATAGTGTCGGCCCAGCGACATCGTTGTTAGAGCTGAGTTTGGGAAGAGTTACCTCTCGCAAAACTGTTGTCGGAGCCACCTTCTTGGACTTTCGAGTACACGTAGCAGGTTTTAAGTTGTCCAGAGGCTTTACCGTCATGAGTTAAATTGCATAATGATGAGATTTCACCTTGTTTGAAATGTACCATCAGGAAATATGGATATGCCATGCTAACTTTATCTAGTACTGTAGTCATCACTATACGCTGTAGTTAAACGATAGTTCAACATCCCTGTACCCAATGGTTCGATCTTTCGAAAGCGGGCCAACCTGATTCTACCAAAAACAACATTCGTTCTTCCGTCATTGGCGGTCTGCTTAGCGCGACGCATGCTCAGGGCATTCACACTTACATCGTACTGATATTGCAGACGCACAGGCGTCTCGTCGAACGATAGATGGACCTCTAGGTACGTACTGGAAAAATAATCGAAATATTCCAGTACGGATGAAATGCGTCACAACAAGCCATGTAGGGGTAGACGCATCTCTCACCAGTGGATGATAATTTTCTGCCATCATTGCTGCCATGGGTAGCAGGGCACGTGAATGTGTCCGAAGTTACTGCTATGCCCTCGCTATGGTGCCAAGATATAGACAAATTTTAACAATTTTTATTTTGCCAACACGCACATTGTTGAATAGCGCAACTTCGCGTTCACGATTTTCGATTGATCATTCCGAAATCGTTTGGGTTGATATACATCGCGGGGCATTTGTCCTTGTCGCCTGCTAATACCTCAAAGATATACTTTGTATCCCCTAAAGTTTCTTTGGTCTCTGCATCAATCAATTCGCCCAAAACCTCGATCACAAAGGTCTGACGAGGAATTTCTTCAAGTGGTTTTACTCCAAATCCACGTCCATCTGTCGTTTCAAACAAGCACAACGCAGGCTTGTCGTCTTCATCAAAATTCCAGCTCAACTTAATATACGAAAGCGGGAATTTCTCAAACTGAAGGTTCCGGTGTATCGTAGTGTAGGAGGCCACAACGTTCCCTAGTCTTCCGGTGGGTGTTTGCTCCTTAATTTCCTCCTGCTCAACATTCTTGGCTTCCAAATCGCCTTCACCACCGTCTTCAATGCTCTCTTCAACGTTCTCGTTACACGCTTCCCGACGTTGTTCGACGTCATCGTCGTTTTTGGCTTCCAAATCGACTTCCACACCGCCTTCAGCGCTCTCCTCACTGTACTGTTCGGTAATCTCGCCGGTCTTCGATTCAGTATCATCATCATTAGCACCGTCTTCAATGTATCCACGCGATCGATAGTAGCAAATTCGCATTGTAAGACCGCTCTTTTTCTCTTATTCGATTCGAATACTCGCGTAGTAGCGCCAGCTTCTCCTCTCTTGTCAAAGTCTCTGCTCGCATGGCTCGTTTAATTGGCAGGGCCGCGCTACCGGAAGAAATAAAGCGGCCATCGGAGCCGTGGCTGCGCCGGAAGCGTTTTTTTCTTAGGACCTTTTTCCGCTTGTTGTCTTGAGCTGATAGAAATCAATTAAGCTCTGCGATGGCTGTAGTATGATAGTCAACAACTGTACTTAGTCAACTATCAATCAACAACTATAGTCAGCAGTCGAAATGCCTTTCTTCGAAGTAATACAATTGAGTAATACATTGAGAGTATGAATTACCGGGAGAGTGCAGTGCAGTTTGTGTACAAGTCGTGTGGTGTGACCGTTACCGTGACCGTGACCATTACCGTGACCGTGACCGTGACAGGGGCCATGTTGCGACAATAATACACAGTTCTTACGAACTGCGAACTGGGTGCCTTCCAGAACCGACATAAAAAGTCGCGCATTAAAGTTTAATCGCGGTGAATTGTTTGGTGAGACCACTTTTTGGTCTCATCAAACTATTCTAATACGACTTTTAAGTAGCAATGTGATTAAACACATGACTGAACTTCACTAAATCCGAAGGTCGCGTTCCAGCAACCGATTTGATACGCATTAAACCGTTTTGTAATTTAAAATAAATTACCGATTAAACTGATAAAACCGTTTCAGGACAGTTTTGGAAGGCACCCACTTCCGTCCGGTGCAGTTATCACCAGCCTAAAACGACTCGTGATAAAACTGATTTTGAAGGTGAGACCAAAAAGTCGTCTCATCAAAAAAGTAGTTTGGTCATGTTTTATCGTCTTTTTAATTACCCCCTCATTTAGCAACTGATTCAAAGTCATCTTGAATTCTGTAAATGTATATAATCTACCCTTAACTAGAATTCATCTCAGCTGGAAGTTGGGCGACCTTTAAAGGTCAAAGAGGGCGCGAATTTGCGCGCTGAAATTCAAACTGAGCGGCTCTATCGGAGCTCACTTCGGAATTAACAGCCCC